TTGAATTTTTATTTGGTCCAAAGGAATGACAGATTCGCAATTCAATGCACTTAAAATGGAAGTCGCAATGTGGTATGACAACCACAAATGTCTTACTATGTTGAAAGTGTTGTTCAGAGATCATGTGGTCAATGAGAGACTATCAAAAATAGATAAGACATTGGACTTGCTGAATGATTTAGTTAAACATGGTCATTTGAATTCCAAGAATCTTACAATTCTGCATGATACCATCAGCACAACTGAACATTTTGGTCTTCAACATAAGATTAAAGTATTACTACCGTCATTCCCGGATGTTAAGGAAGGAAACATTTCCAAACAATTCAGTCATCACAGACAAAAACTAATGAAGTTTGGAATGAACCTGACTCCAGACAATGTAACAAAAATTGATGGATTGCTGAACGTGCCCCGTAAGGAGTATACCGATGGCTGGAGTATGATCACTGATCTAGAAGACAGACAGATAATCAGCGAAAAGAATATGAAAGAATTCACTGATTCATTAAGAAGCCTTGAAATCCATCCAGCATTGAATGCACTACAAGATGGTAATCCTCATTTTTTTTTTAAAAGAAAACAATTTGTCATGTGGGCCATTTCGTTTTATTTTGTTTAGGCCTACATTCTTTACATTTCATTTTCATCATTTTTTTTTCAATTCCACCATAACTTTTTTTCATTTCCTTCTTTCCATTTTCTTAACATTTTCCTTTTTATCTTTTCTTTTCCCTTTATTTCATCATTTTGTCATTTTCATGTGACATACTTAACAGAGTAAACTTAAATTTAGGTACAATTACTAATTTGTGAATTCCTTTCTCTTCATTCCATAATAAATAATATATAGATTTTATATTTAATAATAATATCAACAACAATGATCACATGTAACATTTATAAGGTGCTCTGTATTGTTCTCTTACAGAGCTTGAAGGTATTGAAACAAGCGATATTAAGGAGTAACTTGACACGACATGGGATTGCACAACAGAGCTTGAATCACATAACCACAACATCCTAGATGTTTCCATGAATATGTTGACAACATAGCAGGAAAAAAGATTACAGTACTTGACTGAAATTGCTGTAATGTGTGAAAAGGTGGAAAAGGTCCAGTGGCATTGCAGAGTCATCTGAAAAAATCCAGGTAGACTGCCTAACTTTGTGCATGTCCACGACTACAGGAACACAAAGCTGGTGCATTCCTCTGACAATAGAATGTAAACTAAAAAATTTTAAATAGAATGGAAGAAAATGAGATTGATGTTGCATGCTGCTGGTGCTTCTTTAACTGGACTTTGATAAATATAAGGCTCTAGGATTTATCAATTAAGTGCATAGTTCTACAGTACTTATGAATTTGAATTTCTGCTGTAAAATATGAATGCATGTATGTGTCGTTATATATTTCTGTTTACGCATATCAGATGTAAACATTTTAGCAGTTTAGTTTACAGCTGGTTTAAGAGCGCTACAGTTTGGGTACCAGGAATAGCCTGCGATAAGTCTTAATTATCAATCACAAATTTACTAATTAGTGTTTGGATGCCAACTGTAAAATGTAGCTTGCAGTGTCATAATTCAAACAATTTGGACAGTATTATATTTATCATATATAAAGTACTTAGCATTGTTTAAATATTATTTAAAATTTTTGTGTTTATTATATTATTAACTTTGTGTTTTAATATGTACTGTTGTATCAGACTCACTTACGCTAAAGCTCCTTAATTTTATTAATAATAATAATAATAATAATAATAATAATAATAATAATGATAATATTAATTTATATAGTGCATTTTCAGAGTGCTGTTCAATGCGCTTTATATAAAAATTGATAAAATACAATATAAAACAGGCAGCATTATACAATCAAATTACAAAAATATTATATAGAAAAACTACAAAAATATACTTATGATTAATTACATTGTTAAAAAAATTGGAAAATTCAGACAAAAATAAATATCATTAATTACCTAACAAATTTAATATATACTGAATTATTACAATACAGATCAAATAAAAGTTTTAAATCTAATATCTACAATATTGAATGGTAATCAATTAAAAGGAAAGATAATTAAAATATAATTACAATAATAAAATCATTGAAATTAATTACAAATTGTGGTAACCAATAAATTACTATTTACAGTTATATAAAATTTAAATATCTAAATTCAATAACAATTATTATTTGAATACCAATAAACATAATAATAATAATAATATTGTTATTATTATTATTATTATTTAGCGCATATTTAAAACCCTATCAGGTACCTACTTATACTCCTGGGTGGAGAGAAGCAAAGGAGATAAAATGCCTTGCCTAAGAACAAGTGGAATACACAGAAAGAGGGATGGGAAACCCAACCATTCTCGCTGCGCCAAACCACTTCCATTAAGGTACAAGTCTTTGTATAATAAAAATATAGGTTTTGAACAATCAAAGCTCAATATTGTATTTTCCATGAATTACACAAAATGCAAATGAATGTGTAGTCATTTTTCAAATCATGGTTGTTTTAGCGTGCTATTCACATTATAGATAGGTTTCAAGAAGAATCTAGATATTCACCAAGGAATTTGAACCCTTTAAATCAGGAGTGGGCATAAAAATTGTTTGGAGGGCCAATGTGAATTTTTGATTTAACACTGTGGGCCGCACTTTTTTACACCACTTTATTCTCAGATATATTGTTACTTTTTACATATGATCGGCGTCAGGCTGTAAAAAAGGCGTTTTTTTTCTAGCCAATTTTGCTTGGCGTGCCACAAACATAGGGTTCTTAATTCATTGTCGCAGGCCAAAAGAAAAACGCTGTTGGGCTGCACTTTTCCTGTCTGTGCTTTAAATGATGTTTACCATCACAAACCACAGAATTTAATAAGTAATTGATATGATAGAGGGGATATATTTTCATGGCACACACTGTAACAAGAATTTTGATGGAACAAGATATTGATGCATATATGAACACTTGTATGTAAGCAGTATGGTGTACTGATAATCCTTTTGAAATTTTGTTTTGTGCTCCACTGCCATTTGTACATTTTAGCACAATCTTTCGTAAAATCCACCATTTGGTTAAAAAAGTGTATCATGCAGAAATATGAATTGTATTGTACCCTTTATGGATTATGTACACATGTCATCACATATATGTAATTATAACTGAATTTTAACTTTAAAAGTCTTTTATTATACATTATGTTAAGAACTTACTTAAATATACAGATAAAGCAATTCAAATATATTTTAAATTTAATTTTTTAATTTGTTAGCATGCCAGACAGTGCATCTTTAATGTACAGTATACATTTCTTTTCTATCTACAAAGTTTACTTTATAGCTGCATGTGAAGTTGTACATTATATTTACAATGTGAAGGTATTGAATGGATGTTAAATTTTTAGGTGTCATTTTAAATATTAAATATTTGAAATAATGAAATATTGTAAATGTGATATACGAAGCTTAAGCTGAGCACTCACTGTGTCATACGTTTTAGGTATCATTTTTTGTGTGTTCTTTAAATAGAAACTATTCCGATCAACTGGAGCAAGAAACAAACCATGCAAAAAACTCTTTTCATAGAGGGTTAAACTTCCAGCTTATCGTAGAAGGCTGGCTAATATCTAGCGCCCTCTTAAATATTTGAAATAATGAAATATTGTAAATGTGATATACAAAGCTTAAGCCGAGCACTCGCTGTGTCATGCGGCGGTCGTACAACAAATCCAACTCCTCTCCTTATAGCTCTAGATGACACGACACCTGATTGCCGGTGTGATTGAGAATGGATCATAATAAAAAGCAAATTGTTGCGCGTACATCATGGCGCTGCATTCTCTATAGAATTGCGTCGCCGACAACCGTTAGGAACGGTGAGTGCCCGGCTTTTGGCTATGTTCAGACACAATGATAACGTTAATCGAGTGATGTGAATTTGTGCACGGTGTGGCGGACACCAGTATTATCGCACAATCACTGGCGTACGGTAATCCACCAACAGACACAGATTAGCGTACGCCACTGAGTTACGGCAGTCACGCATCAGTGATTTTGAACCCGGCCAGGATTTGACCCACAATGAATTTCGAACTGATCTTCCACTATATTGGGAAGCTGCTCTATATTCTGCAATTTATTATCTTCGGTAGGATGTGCTGTTTTAAATATTTCTAATGTACACTGGGTTAAAACAATTTTTAATATTTTTATTATGTTTTTGTTTGTAACTTTTTATCCATATTAAGTCATTTGTTTTACTTTGTATAAAAGCAATGTACAGTATTTTTTTTTGGATAAATAAATATTAGTTTGACTTCAAAGATGTTTTTGTCATGAGATGGATTGCTGTGCTGTAAATTTATTTCATTCTAGACCCAGGGATTGGAAAGCAGACATGTTAAGTTACATCGGGTTTGAGTCACGCCAGAAACACATTCTTGAATACAATATCATCTGTCCTTAATACAGTCATAACATTATGTAGGTAATTATCTACTGTCTGAGAAGAGTAAAGGTAGCTTTAAAAATGTATGGAAAAATATCAGTAAAGAGCAGAAGTCAAAAATGTTCACAGCATCTGCTGACATTGATACATTTGATATCTCCATCATGTATTTAATCATTCGAAACTGCTCCAATGGCATTCCAGAGTCTTTTTGGAAAAACCCACATAGACTGACTAGCTTGGTAGACATCCACAACTACAGGAACACAAAGCTGGCACATTCCCCCGACAGTAGAATGTCAACTAAAGAATTTGAAATTGAATGGAAGAAAGTGAGTTCGATGTTTCATGCTGCAGGTGCTTCTTTAACTGACATTGACAAATATTAGGCACTAAGATTCATCTAAATTCATAATTATATCGATGTATTTAAATGTTGCCGTAACATATGAATTCTTGTATGTTCATTAAATTTCTGATCACTCGCATGAAATGTGAACATTTTACCACAGAATAAACTTTCTGATATTAAACTTAATGGGTTTAAGAGCGTTACATTTTGGTGACTAGGGATAGCCTGTTATGAGTTTTAAATTAGGCATCCGTGTACAATCACAAAATTATTAAATGATGGGACGCCAGCTATGAAATGTAGCCTGCAATGTCAGAATTCAAATAATTTTGGACAGTATTTAATATATCAAATATACATAATATTGTTTAAATTACTTAAAACTGTAAATGTGTTTATTAACTTTTGTGTTTTAATATGTACTGTTGTATCAACAGCACTTAATGCAAAAGCTCCTTAATTTTATTACTAATAATAATGGTAGACTTTATATAGCGCATATTGTTAAGCCCTCTATGGGCTTCACATTATCATTTAATACCCCGGCCATTGGATTAAACGCCTAAGGAACAAGCTGCCTAGGGGAGTATTCCATTGTTGCAGCAGCTACATCAGTGCATTTGGCATTTAACCATATAGACCGGGAGCCCAGAAAATTTAATCATGTGAAAAGAGACAAAAGGTTTGATGGTCTGGTCATGATAGTATAGGGCCAAGATACAATATTCAGTATTGCTGCCGGGGCACATCCTGTACAAGCGGGCTGGGCGAAATGAAATAGGGGGTTAAATTATGCATTTAATCATGTGGAGAGAGACATGGATAAAAATAATTGGATATTACTCCCAGG